TTGACTCTGAGTGAGTCATTTGAATCAGTGAGTTGTTTACTGGAGATTGACTCTGAATGAGTCATTTGAATCAGTGAGTTGTTTACTGGAGATTGACTCTGAATGAGTCATTTGAATCAGTGAGTTGTTTACTGGAGATTGACTCTGAGTGAGTAATTTGAATCAGTGAGTTGTTTACTGGAGTTTGACTCTGAGTGAGTCATTTGAATCAGTGAGTTGTTTACTGGAGATTGACTCTGAGTGAGTCATTTGAATCAGTGAGTTGTTTACTGGAAATTGACTCTGAATGAGTCAATTGAATCAGTGAGTTGTTTACTGGAGATTGACTCTGAATGAGTCATTTGAATCAGTGAGTTGTTTACTGGAGATTAACTCTGAATGAGTAATTTGAATCAGTGAGTTGTTTACTGGAGATTGACTTTGAATGAGTCATTTGAATCAGTGAGTTGTTTACTGGATATTGACTCTGAGTGAGTCATTTGAATCAGTGAGTTGTTTACTGGAGATTGACTCTGAATGAGTCATTTGAATCAGTGAGTTATTTACTGGAGATTGACTCTGAGTGAGTCATTTGAATCAGTGAGTTGTTTACTGGAGATTGACTCTGAGTGAGTCATTTGAATCAGTGAGTTATTTACTGGAGATTGACGCTGAATGAGTCAGTTGAATCAGTGAGTTGTTTACTGGAGATTGACTCTGAATGAGTCATTTGAATCAGTGAGTTGTTTACTGGAGATTGACTCTAAATGAGTCATTTGAATCAGTGAGTTGTTTACTGGAGATTGACTCTGAGTGAGTAATTTGAATCAGTGAGTTGTTTACTGGAGATTGACTCTGAGTGAGTAATTTGAATCAGTGAGTTGTTTACTGGAGTTTGACTCTGAGTGAGTCATTTGAATCAGTGAGTTGTTTACTGGAGATTGACTCTGAATGAGTCATTTGAATCAGTGAGTTGTTTACTGGAGATTGACTCTGAGTGAGTCATTTGAATCAGTGAGTTGTTTACTGGAGATTGACTCTGAATGAGTCATTTGAATCAGTGAGTTGTTTACTGGAGATTGACTCTGAATGAGTAATTTGAATCAGTGAGTTGTTTACTGGAGATTGACTTTGAATGAATCATTTTTATTAGTGAGTTGTTTACTGGAGTTTGACTCTGAGTGAGTCATTTGAATCAGTGAGTTGTTTACTGGAGATTGACTCTGAATGAGTCATTTGAATCAGTGAGTTGTTTACTGGAGATTGACTCTGAGTGAGTCATTTGAATCAGTGAGTTGTTTACTGGAAATTGACTCTGAATGAGTCAATTGAATCAGTGAGTTGTTTACTGGAGATTGACTCTGAATGAGTCATTTGAATCAGTGAGTTGTTTACTGGAGATTGACTCTGAATGAGTCATTTGAATCAGTGAGTTGTTTACTGGAGATTGACTCTGAATGAGTCATTTGAATCAGTGAGTTGTTTACTGGAGATTGACTCTGAATGAGTCATTTGAATCAGTGAGTTGTTTACTGGAGATTGACTCTGAGTGAGTCATTTGAATCAGTGAGTTGTTTACTGGAGATTGACTCTGAATGAGTCATTTGAATCAGTGAGTTGTTTACTGGAGATTGACTCTGAATGAGTAATTTGAATCAGTGAGTTGTTTACTGGAGATTGACTCTGAATGAGTCATTTGAATCAGTGAGTTGTTTACTGGAGATTGACTCTGAATGAGTCATTTGAATCAGTGAGTTGTTTACTGGAGATTGACTCTGAATGAGTCATTTGAATCAGTGAGTTGTTTACTGGAGATTGACTCTGAGTGAGTCATTTGAATCAGTGAGTTGTTTACTGGAGATTGACTCTGAATGAGTCATTTGAATCAGTGAGTTGTTTACTGGAGATTGACTCTGAGTGAGTCATTTGAATCAGTGAGTTGTTTACTGGAGATTGACTCTGAGTGAGTCATTTGAATCAGTGAGTTGTTTACTGGAGATTGACTCTGAATGAGTCATTTGAATCAGTGAGTTGTTTACTGGAGATTGACTCTGAATGAGTCATTTGAATCAGTGAGTTGTTTACTGGAGATTGACTCTGAATGAGTCATTTGAATCAGTGAGTTGTTTACTGGAGATTGACTCTGAATGAGTCATTTGAATCAGTGAGTTGTTTACTGGAGATTGACTCTGAGTGAGTCATTTGAATCAGTGAGTTGTTTACTGGAGATTGACTCTGAATGAGTCATTTGAATCAGTGAGTTGTTTACTGGAGATTGACTCTGAATGAGTAATTTGAATCAGTGAGTTGTTTACTGGAGATTGACTCTGAATGAGTCATTTGAATCAGTGAGTTGTTTACTGGAGATTGACTCTGAATGAGTCATTTGAATCAGTGAGTTGTTTACTGGAGATTGACTCTGAATGAGTCATTTGAATCAGTGAGTTATTTACTGGAGATTGACTCTGAGTGAGTCATTTGAATCAGTGAGTTGTTTACTGGAGATTGACTCTGAGTGAGTCATTTGAATCAGTGAGTTATTTACTGGAGATTGACTCTGAATGAGTCATTTGAATCAGTGAGTTATTTACTGGAGATTGACGCTGAATGAGTCAGTTGAATCAGTGAGTTGTTTACTGGAGATTGACTCTGAGTGAGTCATTTGAATCAGTGAGTTGTTTACTGGAGATTGACTCTGAATGAGTCATTTAAGTCAGTGTGCTGACCTCCTGCTTAATTGATCAAACTCAGCCTAATGACTGAATCACACTGCAGAGCTCCAGCACTCTGGGTTTCCCCCTTCAGCATCTCTGTCCTCATCTTCAGTCAGAGGAGTGCCGTGGTTTGAGCTGCGCTTCAGAGACGTCACTGTTCCTCTGATGAAGCCGTGTGATCCAGCATAATGGAGATCGCTGACACTAGTGAAGGATGCGTGTGTAATCCGCTGTGTTCAGCTCGGGGTTTGGAGATCTGCATGAGTTTCTCAGAACACAGAAACACTGCGCTGTGAGCCGGCTAGCGCTAGTGAGCGATCTGAGCGTCATGCTAACAGCGGCTCCTCATGCGAGACTGTACTATAAACACATCATTATGAGTTATTGGGCCGCTCGCGCTGCTTCACTGCGTCTGCTATTAAACAGATGATTGAATTAATTCAGGAGATTTCAGCGCAGAAGTGTCCGGCTCTGCTCGAGCGCTCGCCGGTTCAACAGGAGAGAGTCTGACAGCGCAGGAGAATAATCGGAGCCATCGCCGCTCTCTCAGGATTAAACACATTAGAGCTGTCCATAAATAAAGCAGACGACACGCAGGAAACACTCGCTCTGTCCAGCTGCGGATCAGCGCAGTGTGTGTGTGTGTGTGTGTGTGTGTGTGTGCCTACATTAACCGCATCACACTGGCCTGAACACTCATCAGTGACAGCAGAACATGAGATGTACACATGCGAGCGTGTGTGTGTGTGTCTCTTCATCTGTGTTATTCAGCACACTCACAGATCAGCAGAATCAGTGTAAGAACTGAGATCTGGAGACGCTTCTCAACATGTCACTGCTGATTCCGCCCTGAGTGAGTATGAATTCAGTGCTGATTCACTGCTGATTCATTGCTGATTCACTGCTGATTCAGTGTTCATTCAGTGCTGATTCACTGCTGATTCAGTGTTCATTCAGTGTTGATTCAGTGCTGATTCAGAGTGGATTCAGTGTTCATTCAGTGTTGATTTAGTGCTGATTTAATGTTGATTCATTGCTGATTTAGTGCTGATTTAATGTTGATTCAGTGTTGAATTAGTGTTGATTCAGTGCTGATTCACTGCTGATTCAATGTTAATTCAGCGCTGATTTAGTGCCGATTCAATGTTGATTCAGTGTAGATTCAGTGTTCATTCAGTACTGATTATTGTTGATTCAGTGCTAACTCAGTGTTTATTCAGTGTTGATTCAGTGCTGATTTAGTGTTGATTCAGTGATGATTGATTCAGTAATGAATCTGTGTTCATTCAGTGCAGATTTAAAGCTGATTGAGTGTTGATTCAGCATTTATTCAGGGTTAAGTCAGTGCTGATTCAGTGCCGGTTCAATGTTGATTCAGTGCTAATTAAGTGTTGATTCAGTGCTGATTGATTCAGTGCTGATTCAGTGTTGATTCAATGCTGATTTAGTTTTGGTTCAGTGCTGATTGAGTGTTTATTCAATGCTAATTCAGTGCTATTTTAGTGGTGATTCAGTTTTGATTCAATGTTGAATCAGTGCTAATTAAGTGTTGATTCAGACACACACACACTCATACACACTGACCCACATACCCACGCACACATTCACACACACACACACACACACACACACACACACACACACACACACACACACACACACACACCAAGGCTGAACAGCAAACAACAACTGTGCACTAATGACCTCACAGTAATGAACAACTGCACACACACACACAGCAGGTCTGAGATCAGTGTGTCCACACACACACACACACACACATACACACACACACACACGCACGCACGCACGCACACACACACACACACACACACACACACACACACAAGCAGATGCAAACCCTTTTGGGGATGCTCTAGCTCTAGCTCTCTCTCTCTCTCTCTCACACACAAACACACACTGACCAGCAGATCAGAAACTTCAGCACGGGCTCAGACTCTGATCTCTCTCACATACACATCCGGACGCAAACACACACACACACACACACACATATATACACACACACACACACACACACACACACACACTTGCACACACGCGCACACACGCGGATCAGCGCCGCGGCTCGTGCAGGAGTTTGTCCGCGAGCCCGAGCCCCGCTCCGCTCCGCAGCGACCCGCTTATATAAGCCGCTGCGGGCGCGCCGAGAGGCGGATGCGGAGGAGCGGAGACCCGCGGTGCTGATGGTGGAGGAGAGAGAGATGATGGAGAGAGATGGAGAGACGGAGAGAGAGAGATGGAGAGAGCGGCGGGGATGCGGAGTTGGGAAAGTTGTCTGCTCACCGGATGACGGTGGTGTCTCCCTGGCGGATGGTGATGTTGTCGGTGGATCTCTGACTCTCCACGCTGATCACCGGGAATCCTGTGGGGATAAAGCACAGCAGTCTGAGGAAGCAGGACTGCAGAAGAGCAGCAGAAGAAGAAGAGCGGCTCCACACAAACATCACAGCAGCAGATCCACAAACAGAGGAGCAGCAGAAGAAGAAGAGCGCGAGAGACCCGCGGGAGCGCACACTGAAGCGGCGGCGCGCAGGAGAACTGGAGGAAACTGCGCTGCTGCACGCACACACACACGCGCGCACTTACACACACGCGCACACAGAACTCGATACACTAGCGCTCTGCTGCCCCCTTCACGACAGTCCCGTTATCGGTTGTCAGGACAACAGCCCGTTCTGTGCGCGGGCACGTATCACAAAAGACCGCCAAGCGTGTGCCCGAGAACACCAAAAGAGCACGCGCACAGACACACTTCTGCTGTTCGGAATGAAATCATGATCATAATAGAGAAAACCTGAAGATGAACACACACACACACACACACACACACACACACACACACACACACACACACACACACACACACACACACACACACACACACACAC